GAGCCGATCGCCACTAGCTTATTGGCCGGAGAGACCCTCGCTCGCGAGAGAGGAATTTGAATGACCCTCGATCGATTTAGCGTGAATTGGGGTGTTTGTTTTATCATCGCGCCTCACCGCGCCGCGCCGCGCCGCGTCGTTTGTTAGGTTGCGTTTCTATCGAGTCATAAATTGGGGAAGACTGTTTTACGTCTTTTATGTCTGTATATTAAGTGATTATGTAAGAGGGATTTAATTAACGATGAAAGTTAAGAAAATATAATCAATTATTCGATATTAAATTAACATAATATAAATATAAAGTAATAAAATGGTAAATTTATGTTAGAAATTATTTGAATAAGAGTTATTTTAATTGAAATTAATTATATATTACTTTATATATATAGAAAAAAATTCTAAACATAAAATAAAGTAATTAAAATGAAACACATTATAAAATAATTTAGTGTCATAAAAATAATTAGAATATATAAATTTACCTATATAATAAAATGTATTTATTAATAGTAAAATAGTCTTGACAAGAATAAAAAATATATTCTATACTATAAAGTCAATGAAGTATAAACTTCATCAAATAATAAATATAATAACAAACGATTTAATCAATTTGCAGAAAGCTCAACAGAAACTTGAACTTTACACTTCTTTGATAAAGACAAACATATTCTTATAAATAAAAAACTTGCTTTTAAAAATAAAAATATGTGAATTAGAGACGTTTGTTATTTTATATAGTAAAATGTTCTATTTGGTGTTTATTATACATTTTAAAAAAAGAGATTTAAATACCAGATTATTAAACATATTAATTTGTTCTTAATAAGTGAAGTCTGTCATAACGAAATGTGAAAATGAGGGAAATGAAAGAATACTGGTGAACAGAAATATTACGACTTTATTGTAACCTATAATTTCAAAATATTATTCATAATTATGACTTGCAATAATTATACTCATTATTAACACTACTTTCCGATTTTGTCGCATTACCAGATCCACAACTGATCAGAATCTGAATGCCAAACTAATATTTTACGTCCAGATATGACGCTCAACTCGTTCGCAATATGTTTCTGGATCAGAATGTGCAAAATGTTCAAAGAAAATTGGATCTCTATACTGGTTTGGATCGTCCAAAAAGAATATCGGCTCCCCATAATATGTTCCCACTTCCCATCCTTCGACATTTTTCATCAATTCTGCCTCGATGTCGCGATTACGTCTCATTTGTTTCAAGACACTAGAAAAAAAAAAGGAAAATGATTAAACTGACTCCATTACATTATGCTATACATTTAAATATTTTAAATAAAGTAGCTTTTTTAATACATACATACAATTCCAATACAAGTGATCAAATTCATAATTGTGGTGAATGGACATTCAAGTGTATTGGATTAGTACACATTAATGGTTGCCTTATATAAAATATCTAAATGTAGTAACATTTACTTAACTTTGACGATAAAATAATACATATATATTCAATTAAATAACGTGACAATATAATTATTAAGTAATTAATTGTTTAATAGATTGACATATCTTTACATTTCATGTTGCTAATTTCAGCAGCTTTTAATATGCACTAATTTGACATAGAGTGCAAATGACCAAATTCGCTATTAATTAAGCCTCCAATTGTACTAGCTTATAAATACTATATTTTAAATGAAAAATATACATCCTTACGCTCTATCTCGTTCCGCTATCAATGCTGGAAATATAGCCCAGCGTGCACTTCTCATCTCAATCTGTTGACGTCTAACTTGTTTGAAACTTAGATAGTAGCCATATATTCCGCCGAACGTGCTGGCTAGGAAAAGCGCAATTGTGCTTCTAGCTATAAAATTTTATTACAACATTATTACATAACCTGCCAATAAGGCAATCTTTGCATTAATCAGCCAATAAAATTGTTAATCAGCTAATAAAGTTGGTTACAGAAATATCTTTACCGCCGAGAATGCTGCGTAATTTTATCCTTTCCGTTTGTATGGGAGCATAGCCTCCTTTTGGTGGAAGATCCTGTGCTCTTTTACCGTCTACTGTTGCATTCATCTTGTTCGTTTTCTTCTCAGCGACGATGTTTGAACTAGAACATCACTCAACGTGTGCCAAGGGCTTCGAAAACATTTGTTCGTCCGTAATCTGCCTTATTATGCTGATTACAGCAGATTATCTACCAACACCTGCCAATACCGAGCAGATCGACAATCGACACTACTGACTAATTGACTATCGCAAATTACCAAGTAGTCCGAGTACCGATTATCGAATAGCAGTCCTGTAAGGGTATATTCATACAACGGCCCGTATTCAGAACGCGCTTTTATCGATAAAAGCGCACTTTTATCTCTAAAATTCTATAATATACGTGACGTAAAGTATAGTATGTAGCGTGCTAACATTGTTGTAAGCGCGTTCTGAATACGGGCCAACTTGTATAGCCGCATAAATATATGCGTAACAAAAATTATCCAATCAAATTTTACGTGCTTCTTTATAAAAGAAATAAGGGGATCGATTCTGTATCTTGAAAAGTGAGTGAATTTATTAGAATACTGATAATTTAATTGGTCAATACCTAGTAAATTTGCTCACTTTTGTAATTTTCACCTTGATTGAAGATACAGAATCGACCCCAAGGGCTTCACACATAAAATGCATAATAGAGCATAAGCATAACATAAAGGCCGCAGCACAGACTCTTGCATAGCGCATAACGCATAGTGCATATGCGAATCAACAAATCAGAATCTTTCCTTTCCTCCCATTCCATGGAAAAGAAGAATTTTGATTGGTTGATTCCCTTATGCACTATGCATAACGCATAACACATAATGCATAAGAAAATGAACCAATCAAAGTCTTTTATTTCCTTCTTTTCCATGAAATAAAGGACACTGATTAGTGATTTTTTTATGCCTCATGTTTTATGCGTTATGCAAGAATCTGTGCTCCCCGCTTAATACTCTACAAATGTAAAGGTCCGTCTACAATACACGGAGTAAGAAGTAAGAGTAAGAAATTGACCAATCACAGTCATTTATTCTTCTCACATTCGACTGTGATTGGTCAATTTCTTACTCTTACTTCTTACTCCGTGTATTGTAGACGGGCCTTCATAGGTTGAAATCTTAATATCTAATTCTTCTATTGTGCGTAGGCCCTAAGACGTATAGGATAATGTGAGATAGAATGTATAAGATAAAATGAAATAGAAATATGTCACTAGTACTATAAATGGCTGCCAAGTCACACAATTGGTTAGATTGCAACAGCAAATCAGAATGCATAACACCGGTTGCGCCTCTCTGAAGGCCCGTCTACAATACACGGAGTAAAAAGTAAGAG